AAACAAAATTTAATTAATTAAAATAAATTTATTAGAAGAAGATAATTTATGAGAAGCAATCCGTTCATTTCTTAGAAAATTTAAATTCCCTTCGCTTTTAGAGAGGGAATTAATTACCTTTATAGACGTGCACCGATAGAGATGGTTTCGTGTAGCACAAAGATACGACTTTTCGAAATCAATTCGAACGAAACGCGAGATCCGATGAGTTGGGGGAGGGAGGGATGCAGAAAGATAGCGAGTCGAGCAATCTATCTTTCCTCTGACTTTCCAATAATTCCCGATTTGCCTCCACTGTGGTTAAATGAAGCAAGCTGAAAGGGCGAAGGAGATCAAACCTGTAAGTTAGATGGTTCTCAGTTCAATGCTCACCGTTCCCTCTAATGATTGCTTTGGTTTGAAGTTTTGAATTACCCTCGACTGAAGTGGTGAAGAGAATTTGCCAATATTCGACTCACATACGATTCTCCCCGAACAAGGGGGGGGAACCTCGAATGTTAAAACTGCATACCTGTGTACCTTCGGTTTGCTCGTGTATTTTCGTCCAATTCATCAATTTTACGTGCAATTTGTGCGCGCTTCGTGCAACGTTGAGACGCAAATATTTTTCTGTTTAAACTGTTAAAAATACGATGCGTTGTTAATTTGTTAATTTCAATCAAATTTTAGCCTTTTGTAATGTGTCTTTAACGAGGTCTCTTTTCTTATTGTGGAAAAAATTGTTTCTCTATCGAGTGATATATTACACATTATTTGTTATAAATTTATTATATCTGAATGAATGAAAATGAGAAGCATTCATCAATATTACAAGATTAGTTTCTTTTTTGGGCAATTATAAAAATGTAATATAGTAGAATAATAAGTAATTGCAGTTTTTTTTTTTATTTTTGAAATGAAAATAAAAAACTATATTTTTATGTATTTTTATAATTGATTAAATCAACGATGGAACAAATGAGAAATCTAATGATATGTAATGTTTTTATTTGATTCTCTGGTCATTTTTGTGTCATATATAATAAAAAACAATTAGTCTTAAGAGAATTGAAACTAAAATTTAATTTTACATTGATATTAGTTATGAATTAAGTAGTATAGATCAACCATATGGCTGCACAGGATAAATAGTATGACAGTCAGACAGACCAAGTAGTATAGATCAACAATATACCTATATTCCTTCAAAATTAAAAAAATTAAGAAAAAATGAACTGAATTTAAAATTCAAAATATCAACAATTATAAAGATTTCATAAAATTTTGTTTATATTAGAAAATTTTTGGACAAAAATCTCTATTTCAAAATTCGTGCGTTTAAAATTTTATTTGAAAGATTTGAAATCAAGTATAAACATTAAATATATTTTGAAAAATGAAGAAATTCTAGAGAAAAAGATAAATTTCCTATATTTTAAATTCCTCTTTTTTTTTTTTACACTGAAATATTTTATACTTTGATTTCAATAGTATAAATTTATGAAATTTATTATTATCAATAACAGCAGACTTATCATTTTCAAAATTAATCTTAGAGTACATGATATACATTTATCATGTAAATGTGACATTAGTAAGAAAATGTAACAAAGAGGTTAAGATGAAAAGAAGCTTCGACGTAGATACTTGAAGGAGTTTTTCATCGATAGATCAACGTCACAACTTACTTGATGGTTCTATCTATCCGTGTTACACGTCATTGAAAGTGGAAACGTCGAGCAAGTTAACTGTGTGTATAGAAAAATGGAGGAGGATCGATTTAAATAGTAAGACGATCGATAGATAGAATGACATTATAATTTTATTATAATAACAATAAATGGAATATAGTGTTTTGCTCGTCGAATGATTGAAATCGATATTACAAAGAGGTTCGTTGAAATTTTCTGTAATTAACTTGTCATGTGGATCTACCGTGACCGATAATGATTTATCGTTTAATACCTCACAATGACACAATGAATAACGTAATTCAATGAAAATCATAAACAATAATTAATGATATTAATTACTCGAGTATTAATTTAAATTTAATTTAACGTTTAATAATAAAATTTTAATAACAGGAAAGGGAAGAAAGAGGATTTACTCATTTCGAAGAGAAATTTCTTAATTATAACTAAAAATAATAATAATAAGCGATTAAGTAATAATTCATTCATTAATTGAATAATTTACTAATTTATTATTTATTGAAAGAGAAATTTCTTAATTATAACTAATAATAATAATAATAATAATAAACGATTAAGTAATAATTCATCCATTAATTAATTTAATTTAGAGTAATTTACTAATTTATTATTTATTGAAAAATTAAATCTTTCTTTGCAAAGTAAACGATTATACATCGATTAATCTTGAGAGAAATTGTAATAATTGTTTCTCTCTGATTTTTCTCCTAATTTCAAAATTATCATCCACTGTAATTTATTTCTAAAATATAATCTATCATAATTTATCGTCTCTTATGGATTTTTATTATTTATCAAAAAAAGAATTCACTCTTTCCTTTTTTAAAAGTTAGCCAATATCTGGCTAATTCGTCGAAATTATAATATTTTCTCTTTGACATTCCTCTTAACTTCTAAATTATTGCTTCTACGTGATTCCTTCGTCCCCGTTAATATTCAAGATTGATATATTCAATTCTAAACGAAGAATAAAATTTTTCTGATATCCTCTCTTTAC